GTCTCTTCAGCCACCAGTCTCTCAGGTCTGTGCATGTGCACTGGCGGTCCTTTCCTGTCAGTGCCTTGAAGACTGGAATTGTATTTTATGCATCTTTGGGGCCCAAGCGCCCAGCCCAACACCAGGCACAGAGCAGGCTTCTGTCCGCATGGGATGAGGGGAGGTTGGGGGATTGGGAGGCACTCACCGGCAGTAGTAGATGAGCAGACACAGCAGAATGAGCACCAGCAGGGCCAGCGCTGCCAGGATGGTGAGCAGAAAGATGGTGTGGTAGGTGCCAATGTCCTGGATGCCTGATGTGATGGTGACCAGTCCTGTGCCAGGCAAGGGCTTAGCATTCCAGGCATGGACGCCCTTCCTGCCTTTCAGGAGTCTATGCTCCCAACCTCCCCTTTCCCCACTGCCCCCTGTCCCCACTGTCCCCCCATCTCTCACCAGTGGTGGGGGAAGCCATGGCAGCTGCCCAGTACCCCAGCTGGGGGGAAATGAAAGTCCAGTAGAGCTGCCGGCCTTCCTTCCGGATCACACCAGTGCCGTTGCGTACCCACAGCCCTGGAGAGGCGGGAGTTTCATGAAACTCAATGCCACTCCCCACCCCCGCCCTGCCCCAGCTAAGTCCCACTTTCTTTCCCCAAACTCCAGCGGCTGCACCCCTTGAGGCACTCACCACTCTTGGGGTCGAACCTCCAGGCTGGAATGCTGGTGCCCGCAGTAAGGGCACGAGGCTCGGAGGGCACGGGCAGGGACAGGTGAATGGGGCCTGAGAGTGGCACTTCTGTTCCGTTGCCTGTTAGTAGGTGCACGCTGACAGCAGCCAGCGGCATCAGCTCCAGCCAGGAGCCATTGCCTGGGTGGGGGAAGGAGACACAAGGGCTGAGGGGTGAGTCCTGATGGGAGGAGGACATCCCTTCCATGCTGACACCCAGCATACCTGAGCTGGAGGCCTCGGTGCCCAGGAAGGCAGGGAAAGCACGCATTTCCTGCTGGGTGCTGGCGGGTGTAAGCGAGGCCCAGAGCTGGCTGTAGGTAGAGCTGACCGGCAGGCGGGCAGCCCGGCGCTGGAACTGCACCCACGGCTGGGAGCGGGCACCTGGATGGAGAGGGGGGCCTCCTGTGGATTGGCCAGGGACAAGGTTCCCCAGGGACCAGAGCAGAAAGCAAGTATCCGAGGAGAAGGGAGCTATTGGGTCAGGCCACTTGGGAAGGTCAGGGAGGGTTGTGACTTGGGGAGAGAACTGGGCATTCATAGAATGTTAACCTGGAAAGGAAAAAGGACACGGACCTGAAATCTAGTCCTAGCTGTGTGACCCTGAGTGAGTTACTTGCTCTCTCTGAAACACTATTTCCTCATTAACCCATAAAATGCTGAGGTTCAGGTCCTCAAACAGTTACTATTGACTACTGTGTGGCAACACTGTGCTAGGTGCTAGAGATACAAAGTTGAATAAAACACAATCCGCAATTCCGTGCCTTCAAGTTCACAGTCTTGTGCAGCACTGTCCATTTTGGTACCCATTAGAACTTTCTGCTGTGTTGGATGGAAATGTTCTCTGTGCTGCCCATTACAGTCCCCATTAGAGACACATGGCTATTAAGCACTTGAAAGGTGGCTAGTGTGACTGAGAAACTGGATTCATTTTTCATTTTTTTTAATTTAATGAATTTTTAATCTATTTAAAGAGCCACATGTGGCTACTGACCACTACATTACACAGCTTAGGTCGTGTGTGTGTGTGTGTGTGTGTGTGCGCACGCGCGCGCGTCTGTCTGTCTGCCTGCCTGTTTTGGGGTGGAGGGGGCGTATAAACAGAATTCCAGTACAGTGTGGTCGTCGCTAACATTTATTAAGCTTTAAGATATACTGGACACTGTTCTAATCAGTGTTAACCCCTATGATTAGTACAACAGCCCCTGAAGTAGGTGCTTTCATTATCAACCCTGTTGTATACATACAGAAATGGAGGCAGGAGAAGTTTAGTGACTTGCCCAAGGTCACAATCCTGGAGCCTAACTGAAGCCCAGGAAGCCTGGTGCCAGCCCAACTTCTCAGCCCCTTAACATCATACCTTGCTATTAAAATACGGTACAAAGGCCACTCGGCCCACCCAGCTGGGGTAGGTCCTGTGGAGTCTTGCGTGGTGAGTAAGACTCCACCAGGAAATAGGATATAAAGGGGCCTCCAGGAAAACGGACAAGAGAAAGGCCCAGAGGCATGGGGCAGTGTGCTGGCTGGGGACCCCAGGTGACTGAGTGGCACGTAGGCCCCACAGGGCACAGTCAGCTTTGTGAAGGACTTGAGGCTTGACTTTGAAAGCAGTGGGAGCCATGGGAGGGCTGTAAACTAGGGGGCAACAAAGAGATAATTTGGCATTTTGTTATTTTTTAATTATTTTTTTAAAGTAGACTCCACACCCAACATGGGCTTGAACTCACAACCTTGAGATCGAGAGTTAAATGCTCTACCGACTGAGCCAGCCAGATGCCCCTTGTGTGCATTTTACAAACCTCCAAAGACAGTTTTTAGGAGCCTCTGGTTCAGGACCAGGGAAATGAAGGTAAGCAAACAAGTAACTTGGGAACAAGGGCACAAGCTAAGAATATAAATTGGAGGGGGTGGGGGTGGGTGTCCTCTGTCTCCAAAATCCACTGTGGCTCCCTGGTACGAGCCAGATCAACCAGTCTGCACCAGGCACACCACCTGCAAAGCCAGACCAGAGCATTCCCTGCACCCTCACTGTCCACTTCTGCCCCTGCATCTGGATTCCTCTCCAGTGAGGGCACCTCCTTGCTCCCCCTTCAACTCCCAAGCCCACATGGTCCATAGCTCCCGTCCCCAAATTCTCTTGCCCTGCTACACTCACAGGGTAGAGTTGTCTCAATACTAAGGGCGGCTGCCCTCTACTCCACGGCTCTACCTGCTTTGTAATTAGTTCAGGGTTTGCAGGGATCTGTTTGTCTTCCTACTTGTCTGTGAACTCCACAAGGCAGGGAGCGGGTTCTTTCTTCCCATTGTTCCCCAGCACCAGACACAATGCCTGGCGCAGCACAGAGACTGAAGCCGTGAATAGACAGGTACCACTGTGGGATTTCTCCAGGCCTTGCAATTGACAGTTGTCCAATAGCTATGGAATGACCCCCTCGCGGCCTTCTAACATAACCAAGCACCCAGTAGGTGCACAAGAAGTACATGTAGATCCACCAGTGAAACAGGTGGCAGGGAGTGGGGATTCTAATGGTAGGAGTAGAGGGAGAATAGAAATCACGAGAAGCGCCAATAATAATAAACATTTATTGACCACCTTCTCTGCCCCTTTTTTTTTTTTTTGCATGTTTGATGATATTTAATCCTTACTTCAATCTGATCACATAGATACTATCAATATCCACATCTTACAGAGGAACAAACTAAGGCTCAGAGAGGTTAAGGGACTTGCTCAAGGGCATCCAGCTAATCTGTGGAAGAGTGGAGCTCTCTACACCCAGGTCAGGGGGGGAGGAAGAGGAGCTGGTATGAGGTAGGGGGGAAAGAGGAGCCTTACCAGGAGAGCCCAAGAGGATGTGCACCAGGTCCTCATAGAGGATGAGGGTGGCCGGCCGCTCGGGAAGCAGGTAGAGGCTGACTGATGCATACACTGTGGGAGGGGTGGCCTGTCAGCACCAGAGAAAGCTCCCCCCAAACCCCAAGGCCGGGCACTCCTTCCATCTGAATCCCAGTGACTTCATCTTCCTTCAGCCCCCTCTGTGTACCCCTGCCCGGGCAGCAGCTGCTGGAAAGTCTGCCCCCTCCACCCCCGGGGACTATTTTGGGAAGGGGCTGATGGGGTCAGCTGCTGCCCACCCCCCCTCCACCTGCCCCTGCACTCACAGGGCAGCTTGTCAACACGCCAGGGCACAGAGTTGGTGAGAAAGCCAGGGCGAGCAGCAGTGACCAGCACCCAGGTGCCCAAACGGTAGCTGAGGGGCAGTATGGCCACGCCCTCTGAGTCCGTGGTGCCAGCGGCAAGCAGCATCCGGTTCCCAAACACATCCACTGAGGCCCGGGCCAAGGGCACCAGCTCCCCGCTCACATACACCTGCACCTTGATCAGGATCTCTGTGGGGTGAGGAGAGTGAGGAGGAACGGGAGGAAAGAGAACTGGAGGGAGCCCCAAGATCAGAGGAGGGGGCTGTGGGTTAGAAGCAGCTTTGGGGTCCAGGTGAGACAAGGTTTCCTAAGAGTCGGCATTGGTAGGGCCCTCATTTAAACCTCACACCAGCCTGCGAGGTAGGGGGTGCTAACACATGCACTTTTTCCACATTTTAACATTTCTGAACTCAGATTATGCCTATGATTGATGATGTCATAATTACAATTGGCAGCATTTTTTCTTTTCTTACTGGCACATGAAATAATGGTGCATCTTACAGTCAATGATGTATTAGACTCCATCAAATATGTTCTTAGTCCATTTTACAGATTAAGAGGCTGAGACTCAAAGTTTAGACACTTGCATTGCAGTTAACGGGAGACCTGGGATCCAAACCTGGAAGTATGACTCTAGACCCAAATTCTTAACCACTGGACCCTATGGGGCACGTGTCAGGGAGGGGAGAGGGATGAGGGCTGAGAAAGGAGGACTAAGCAGAAGACCAAGGGTCTGCAGATGGAGAGGAGAGAGACCAAGATTCAGCCAATGAGAAGGGGAGGGAGGGAGGCTGGGTCAGTTTTGGTTCTGAAGAGAAAGCTGAGAAAGGGGACACTAGGGAGCTGGTCATTCCCCTCATTCATTCTCTTCCCAGAATCCTTTGCACAAGCTTGTTTCCTTTCAGATTTAGGGACTCACCCCAAGCCCTAAGCCCAACCGAGTACCTCCCTAACCCCTCCCCCTCACAAGTACTGCCTGCCCCCTCCCAACTGGTCAGCTACAAGTCAGTCACCATGGCAACGCCCTCATTCCTCCCAGGAGATGGGCAGAGAGCTGGGGCCCTGGCAAGGGGAAGGAGATCTGGGGGGGGCTGACCCAGGCCCAAGGGAAACTGGTGTGGAGAGGGCTGAGAAGGGAAGTCCAAGTTTTTTGCTTTCCAGCCACCTCTGCCCCTGGACCCAGGACAGCTTGTCCAGGGTGGGCCTGCAGGTGTCCTGAGCTCAGACAGAGTGACCGGTAGGGACCAGGCTGGAGTTGTCGTCATGGACTCCCCAGGCAGCCTCTCTGATCCGTATTACCATCTACCTCTCTCCACTCAGCAATGTCCCTCCCTCAAGAACATACCTCACCCCTACCTTGCTGCTAATAATGGGAGGAGGTTTCCATACCTAGAAAGGTACAGAGGCCTCATTGCAGGGCCCAGAAGATGGGTGGGGAGTGGGTTAGGTGCTGGAGAGTCCAACCTAGGAGAGTCCAAGTGCCCTGGAAGCTCAGGGCAGCAGGGCATGGGGAGGTAAGGGGCACTCATGGGTGGAGCCTGACACTCAACAGTGACAGGTGTCTTATCTCAGGCTTCCAACCCCAAGGCCAGCGACACGCCTGGCCCTGGCATCCCATCCAGCTGTTCTCCTGAACCCACCTCCCTCACCCCTCCCAGGCCAAAGCCCAACTTGGCAGGGTGGGTGCACACACTTGACTCTTTCCTACTCTGCTTTTCCCAGGCGCTGACAGTCTCCCTGCCCCTCCTCCACTACCACTCAGGAGGAATTCTGAGAAGCCAGAGGGGCTTGGCTACTCCCCACCCCTACCCCCGGCTAGGAGCAGCTGGATGGAGCAGCTGGGAAGAAGGGACCCAGGAGTCTGGAATATGGTCATTTGAGGGAATGCTTTGGGTTCTAAGGGCCAGAGCCTTAGATGAGGGGAAGGGGCCCAAGGAACACGACGGGGGTGGGTGGGTAGGCCTGAAGGAGACATTGGTGGGAAGGGGTGGGCAGGTGCCTAGCAGATTCTCTCCCCGCTTCCCCTCAACCTGGGCTCTCAGCCAGTGGCCTGGGAGAGCCCTCTATCCTGGCTCTATTCCAGCCAATGCCCTGGGCCCCCTCCCCTGGGATACAGGACTTGAAGGAGAGGCTTCTTGAGAAGCCAGGGCCCCTTCCTATCCATCAAACCCTCCTCTCCTCCGGCAGAGAGCAGGGAAGACTGAGGCCAGAGGTGAGCCTTCCCCATTTCTCAAGCTTGGCATTCCATACAGTATCCGCCTCTCCAGGCTTCAGCCCTGCCTCATTCCAGGAGGAAATCCGACCCCCTGCCTTCATCCGGACCCCACTTCCCTCATCCAGACGCCCCCCACCCCCACCCCCCGTTTTTCCTGTCAGCTCCTTGGTGGGGAGATGAGGAATGGAGAGCACCGTTTCGGGCAGGGACGGGGCCCAGAGGCGATAGAGGGAACAGTAGCTGGGGTGGTGGGGCAGGAGGCTGGAAGGTGGGCGCAGGGCTGGAGTGGGCGAGGCCCCGAGAACCCAGGCGTCGGTAGGGAGTCATGGTCTAGCTCTCCCACCCTCTCCCGCTGCAGGAGACCACCCCACCCCCCACCTCACACACCCACCTGGGCCCGTGAGGCGCCGGGAGGCTCTCCTCCACCGCGATGGAGAGGTTAGATGAGGAGGGGTGACCTGGGGGAGGGCTGGGGATAGGAGTGGCCGGAGGCCTGCTGGACGGGAACCCAGGCACCTGCCCTTCTAGCCGGCACAGCCCACAGCCAGCTAGCCAGCTCAGCATGGCTCCGCCACCACAGCCCTGCCATGCGCTTTGGCTGGGAATCACCGCGTACCCCTTTTTCCAGATCCCCCCAAACTGCATGCCCTCCCCCCTCAAGGTTTGACAGCGTTTCTTTGGTACACCCCCAATTCTGAACCTGGGGGGCCGGCCGGGGGCTGTCAGGCTCCAGAGCGAAGAACCCCATTCGAGCAGTCAATCCGCCCACCGCCTCACCCACTCCCCCTTCTCCCCTCCCCCCTTCCAACCC